CATGTACACCTTTCCCTTTTTTCCCCCTAATATGTAATAAACATATTAATACACATTGAAAGAAAATAACCAATAGCGAGAAACAATAAACATATTAATACACATTGAAAAGGTAATAACTAACAGCGTGAAACGTTCTGATTGGAAATGAGAAAGAAAAATCGGAGGTTATTGACTTGATGAAGAAAAAATTGTAAATAGGAAAAAGATGGAGCCAATCACGATTTGGGGGTAAAATTGGAAAAGAGAAAACGCGGGAAGATAATATGACAAAGCGTAAAAAAAACGCGGGAAAAGAAAAATGTAAGTTGATGGCAGTTGAGTGTTGGAGGTAACCTCATTTAATGATGATTGTTGATTGAAAACAGCTGATAAAAAGACAGCAAATAGTAAAGTAAGATGCGTAGCAACAAAACTTTTCCGAAAAACAAAAAACAAAAAACCCCCACTTCCCCTCATCCAATTTATGAGTTTTATAGTTTTCCCGAAGCATTGAGAACAACACCTTTCAAATGAACCAACGCCCCTCGCAATTAGTACAGTGGTTAATTCACAATTTCATTCTATTTTTCAATTTATATATTAAGATGTTTCATGATTGCTCACTGGAAAAAAAAGAATCTTAAATTTGCCGCCAAGAGGTATTTCTTTTTAAATAAAGAATTTTGCTGGTTATAAGCTACTTTTTTGCTTAACCCAAGCATTATTTTTCTTGAATCAAGAAAAAATCAGCTTAAAGCAAGATAAAGAAAATTCTTGGCGGCAAATTCAAGAATTACCATGCTTGATCCAAGCTACTTTTTTTTTCAGTGAGATTTTTTTTAGTTCAACGTTTCTCTATTACTTTCCACCAAATTTTTCCTCCTGTTTCACAGATGCAGAGTTTCTACTCAAATGAGAAGGTTATATTTGTTACCATCCACCCCCTCATTTAATATTCGATCTTTTTTTAAAATTTCAATTCTTATTTTTATTTTTCAATCGATTCCTTGAAAGTCCTCATCAAACAAATTAACCTTTCGTAGAAACTTCCTTGCTTCATCGTGATGCGCGGACTGTTTTGCCAAATTGAATTGAGGGCAAGCATATAATATGCATTCATATGATAGCCTTGCAAATGTGGGCTAATTAATTTTCTATGCGGCATAAATCAACCTAATAGGAACTATCATTGGAATAAAGCATGATGCAGTGATCCGAATCAAGAAATGCGACAATTTTCATAACCACCTCGGCAATTCGTCATTCCATAAAATCAGTAGAAAGTTAATGAAATTATCGATTGCGCCGGCACACTAGACACATCCATACAAAATAGATCAGAACAGATCTTCGGAGTAAATTTTCTACCTGATAGATTACCGGAGTCAAAAAAAGCGTTTCTTCAATTGCTTGCAAATTTCTGTTAGTGTTTTTTTTCCCTTCAAATTTTTTAGGGATTTCCTTTATTTATTGAAAAATACTCGAAAACAATTTCGAGGGATAATTTTTTTGGTTTATGGTTTTAAAAAATTAAGTATGATCGGACATTGTGGGACATCGGAATTAGGGTACGCGTTAGCAATATTCGTTTTCAGCTATCAAAGTGTGTATTGATACTTCACAGTAACAGTAACAGTAGTTACAGTCACAATAACATTAATAGTAGTTACAGTAGTAACAGAAACCGAAGTTACATAGAAGTGACCGTAAGAGCAACTGTAGTTCCAGAAACAGCATCGTAGTTTCAGTAGTGACAGTTCCAGTAATACTGATGGTAGTAACAGTGACATTAGTAACGATAGGTAGGTGTAACTGGAGTTACAACCAATTTAGATGCTATTTGGGAATAAGTGATGCCACCACCAGCCCAGCGCAGCCGCTTGTTTTTCAGCTTCCAATCTGGATAAGGTCGTGAAAAACACGCCGAGGTTAGGCAAGCAACCGCAGTGTCGAGCAAAGTTGCGCGTTAAGGGACTTGAGCTTTGTTCCGCAATCATGTGAATTTCCAGGTTTGTAATAAAATTCACCTCATACGAAGGCAAACGCACCATCTTTTTTTATCGCCATTTTGTTAGCATTAAAGCGCCGCGCCGCACTGATCACGGTGATTTATTTCCAAAAGTTCTCGCGTTTCCGTAACTTTCAATTTTTTTTTAATTAACCCGTCGTTCTTCAGACGAAAACATATGACTATACGTTTCAATGTAGAGAATTTCTATCACGATTTGGGATTTCTCTTGGAAACTATATGAGACTTTTGTTATGTGTTTCTCATAATGAAAATTGTATTTATTTTTCCTCCGAATAGAGGCAAAAGTTAGCTAAATTTTAGACGAAAAAGGGTGTAGTAGGTCCGTACGTATGAACCTCTGGTCAATTTTGCCACCTCTAAATGAAGATCCGTTCTTTCGTCCAGAAAACAGCGAATCTACTACACCAATTTTCATGATCTTTTGGCTATGTACAAATCATACCATCTAAATACAGGCTCGTTTCTTTTATTTTTTCAGGATACGACACTAGTATCTTACGCGGTCATGAGGCAGCAGTGTTCCCATTTCCCGGAACTAGTTCCGAATTCCGGAACTTTTGAGATTTTCCTGGATTTTCCCCAGAACTTTCAAAATTCCCGAAATGTTCTGGATCTTTTCCATTTTCGGAACTTTCTCGGAACTTTTGACGGTCAGGGAGGGGAGAAATTGGAAGAAAAAAAGTTCCGAATCCCGGAGCTTTTGACGGGCATGAAATGGGGGCACTGTGATGCAGCCACCCATGAAAGCGGAGAGCTCATCATGGGATTGGGCCATGCAACGGCCAGGGAACTACTCACTTATATCATCACTTACGCGGAAGATAAATTGATTAATTCGATCACAATGAATAGCGCCAGCTAAATATTCGCGCGTTGATAAAAGAATCGTATGGGTTACACTCAAAATCTGCCTATCTTTTGTCTATCGTAAAAGAGAAAGACTAGACTCCTGCATCATCAATAAGATAGCTTTGTACATCTCTGTTTAGCTGATTGATCATTCCGACTGTTGGAAAGTGTTTGTTGGTTCCGGCTCCAAAATGTCAATAGAGCCATATCTTTCCGATTGCTAACATTAGCGTTACGAAACTCTGAGCCGGAACCGCGGAAACGATGCAAACGTAAAATTGAGGACTTTTTCGGTGAAAGGTTGTATGAGACTTGCAACGCTGCTAAGATTATGCAATTTTTCATAGCATTTGCGACAAATGTGATTTACTCATAATTCACAATCGACTTACTTCCTTACAGTAGTGAGCCGAAACTCGAAGCAGATTCACGAAAAAATTCATAGTAGAACTGTCGCATAAGTTACTTACAACTTAAGAACTACATTGCACAATCTTTAGCAGCATTGGAAATTTCATACGCGAAAAAAATAAAAAAATGCTTTAAAATAATCAAAATCATGTAAAGAAAGGTTTGAAACATTTTTCAAAACTACTTGTTTGTTTAGGTTATACGTTTTCTTACTTCTTTCTGGACAAACCTGAATTCTTAGTTCGAAACGTTGACCGTGCCCAGAATTTGAGCTTCGGCCGTACTCTGAGAACCCTTAATGCAAAGAATTTGTTTGAAACTGTGTAAGAAAATTTAAGTGGAGGGTTCGTAACCTCACATAGCCTCTATGTGGTGCAGCATGTCTCCATGCTTACCTCGTCTGTAAAGCGCCCAAAGAACCATGTGATATGAATGCGGAAGGGAATTTGTTCCATGAGAGAGTACAACATTTCTGTAAAAAGAGTAGATCCCACTCCGTGTTCATATCACTTGGGTTCTTTGAGCACTCCGGAGTAAGCAGGTTAAGCTATAAACCGAATTTCTTCCGTAACTATTATCAGTGCACGTGCTAAAATATTTATATAAGACACTTTTAGACGTGTTTGAGTTCCTAAGATCATTTGCCCAAGACATTCACCATTTTGTCGTTTTTCCGGGCGATGGAACGTAACTACATTTCAACGCTGCAAGATTGTTACTCGCAAAGTGTACCATTACTGAGACATATTCGGGCGTTTCGTACCAAAACTATCGACAGATCTTTAAGTTTTCCTCTGATTACGAGTTAATATCACCAGGATTTTGGAAGAAAACTGCTAAAACAGATTTTTAAAAAGAATGAAATTGCTTGGGTCAACTTTGCACCCTTAACTGTTAAAACTTTTAGGGTGCAATTCTGTGCCGGAGTCTACCTAGCGCCTGAAACCCCTAGCTATATGAATGCGAATCGGAATCTATTCTCCTTACGGGGTTGATTCTACTCTTTTGGCGGAGTGTCGTTCACTTTTATGGTACTGATTGCACTTTGCATTCATAACACTCGGGGTTATTGGGCGCCATACAGACTCTGGCGCCGCACAATGGACCGAATCAAGCGGAGAGGTCGGACATGAATTTTTTTACTGAAACCGCAAATTTAGACGTTTATTTCGTCAAATTTTAAATTTTGAGGGGTGATTTGGGCTGAAAATTTTAGGAGAAAACCAATGGGGCCATGTTTAAGGCCTCAAAATTTTGTAAAAATGAAGTTATGAGCTTTTAGAGTTTCCAAATTCTGTCCCATCTCCCCCATTGACTCGATCCACCGTGCGCCGAATTTTACCACTTGATTTTCAACAGTGTTGGAATGGCCTTACGTTCCTTCGTGCGGGAACGGCAGTATAGCCCTGGATAGACGATCAAATTTCCGAACCAATTCCGATTAAAGTAGACATGCTGATGACTGATGGTCAACATCTACCAACAAATTTTGACGGGCCGCACTTATTTGTTCAAAGTAAGATGAGAAGGGAGTTCCACCATTCATCATTTCCTGCCACAGGAAACATTTCTGCCAAGTTTTCATTTTATAATGAAGCAAATTAATGAGTTTAAGACTGATGACTCCCGACACTTCGATGCTACTTCGATCGGAATTGGTTCGGAAATTTGATCGTCCATCCAGGGCTTGTGTTTACTCCAGAATTTGTTTTCGAACGGAACTCACCAGAACAGCAACGTAGAGGAGGAGCGAGGAATTCAATCCGGCGGGAGCCCACATCGTGTCGGGCGGTGTCTAGGAGGGTATCCAAAACACGGCGCACGGCTGAAACACCACAAAACACCAATTAGCACGACACCGGACACCACAGACCACAGAACACACTCGCGGGAAACGCACTAGTCGCTGCGACTGGAACGAGATCGAGATGCGAGAAAAAACGGAGCAGCGATCATCCTCAATGTCGTGGATTCTCTGCTGATCGCAAGATGCCACTGCTGCCACTGACTGACGGGGAGATGTTCTGTTCAATGCCGAGACCGGCCGACCTTGAAACCTCCGTGACATATTCCCCCCTGCACCGTGCCCCGAGCCCCCCGGGCCCCCTCCTCGGGCTCTACTAATCGCGGCTACTACTCGAGCATTGTCGCGACAGTGTTGCCGATGAGCGTTATCGATATGTATACAGGGTGTTAACCCTCTATGCTGCCGTGCTGACGAAGAACGCCGTATGAACATTCGAGAGTTGTCAAATTTCCCGTGATAAAATATTTATTTTGGCCAACATTCTTGCATATTTTTCCTCGAAATTTTCAGATATTTTAGACTAAATTGCGTAGAAAAATGTCTGAAAATTTTGGAAAACAATACTCGCAATTTTCCTAGTAAATTTGTATTTAATCGGAGGAAACTTGGCAACGTCTGAAGGCTCATACGGCGTTCTTCCTTAGCATGGCAGTATGGCATAGCGTTTCGAATTCGTAACAACAAATTTTTTGGATTTTCAAAATTTGGATCTTTATTCTGTCAAATTTCAAATTTCAAATTTTCAAATTTTCATTAGTATTGCTCTCATTTTCTGAAAAACTGATCCCCTAAAATTTTAAATTTTGACGGAAAATGTGCATCTTATGTTTTTTGTGCAAGCTACAAAATAGATTAGTGTCCCCGAGAATCTTAAGATCCAAAATTGCCATAGAGGATTAAGCCTTCGTAATGCACTTGGTCTTTCGGTCTTGATAATACTTTTTTCCAACTTAAGGTTTTTCCCGGAGAGCCATCCGTCGGAGCTACGGCACGGCCTCAACTTTGCCAGAAATTCGTTATTTTCTTTGAAGTTCGGCACGACTTTTGGAGTTAGATTGATCGATGGCCGCGTGAAGTTCAAAGTATCAAGAAAATGGGGTTTGTATGGTAGCTCCAGAGAGCCTATAATCTTTCATGGTAAAAAATTTAGTTTTTAACCCTAATAGGGCCGTCCCTAAATTACGTAACGCTTTAGGGGGGGAGTCGAAAAGAGAATTACCCCATTTTTTTACGGGTTAAAATATAGCGACGTACGCCACAAAAACGTTACAAGGGGGAAGGGGGGGGGGCTCAAAAATGCCGAAAAAGTGCGATACGTAATTTGAGGACGGCCCCTAAAGGTTGAACTTTTAAGGTCCCGTTTTATTGGACCTAAAACAACCACAAGTAATGATTACCATTCTTTTCCGGGAATCTATTTTCGACAAATGTAAGAGCATCATAACAAAAAATCAAGGTTCTAACTCTGAAAAATCTGCAACCACCTGTTAACATGTTACATGTCTAAGTTCATTGATCATTTCAGTGTTTAAAATCGGGGAAATTGGATATTCTACATAATTCTTAGGCAAGACCCGTCACGGAAATTAACAAAAATTTAATATTCTAAAAAGTTTGGAAGGTTGTAGTGCAGACTGGGGGCAATATCGGGTAAGAAACTTCACACAAAAAAATTTCTTATTTTGACCCAAAGAACACGATTTTGCGGTGTGGCGATTCCACCGTGTGACACTATTTAAGTAACGAAAAAAAAAAAAAAAATTTCCACCATACTTTTTGTTTCAAAATCCACAGAGAACAA